TAGCCTACTCCGTAATTTTCGGTCATACAGATAAAATATCATCTTTTAAAACAGGTATAGCCTAATATGTTTTTCTGTTGCAATGTTTTATGTTGAAAGGTTTTCACTATTTATTCAATTTAATTTCAGTAGTGTGATTATGAATTCGTTTAAACAATGTTTCACTTGAATTCATCTGTTACTTACGAGCTTTCAATTGCTCTGAATGAGCCGCGGCACTGCGGCGATTACGCAATAGAGAGAATAAACTGACACTTTTCACAGTCTGTGATTGTAGCGCCTCTTAGCGGTAAAAGGCAGCAAATACACACCCGAATTTTACCGCCGCTGGAGCGGCGGCGGTAAAAGTATTATTCTGGTTGAGTACCCACTGTACGGTATACTGTCCTTGTCCAGAAAGGAGATAAAGACATCATCAAAGTAGTCCATGTGACATCAGTGGGTTAGTTAGAATGTGTTGAAGCATCGAAAATACATTTTGCTCCAAAAATATCAAAAACTAGGACTTTATTCAGCATTGTATTGTGTTCCGGTTCTGTTGTGGATCCGCGTTCAGTGCCGCTGCTGACGTAAGACGCTGCTGACGTGTGTCTGGTGTGTGTGTGTGTGTGTGTGTGTGTGTTCGGGGTTCTGTTGTGGATCCGCGTTCAGTGCCGCCGCTGACGTAAGACGCTGCTGACGTGTGTCTGGTGTGTGTGTGTGTGTTCGGGTTCTGTTGTGGATCCGCGTTCAGTGCCGCTGCTGACGTGTGTCTGGTGTGTGTGTGTGTGTGTGTGTGTGTGTGTGTGTGTGTTCGGGTTCTGTTGTGGATCCGCGTTCAGTGCCGCTGCTGACGTGTGTCTGGTGTGTGTGTGTGTGTGTGTGTGTGTGTTCGGGTTCTGTTGTGGATCCGCGTTCAGTGCCGCTGCTGACGTGTGTCTGGTGTGTGTGTGTGTGTGTGTGTGTGTGTGTGTGTTCGGGTTCTGTTGTGGATCCGCGTTCAGTGGCGCCGCTGACGTAAGACGCTGCTGACGTGTGTCTGGTGTGTGTGTGTGTGTGTGTGTGTGTGTGTGTGTGTGTGTTCGGGTTCTGTTGTGGATCCGCGTTCAGTGCCACTGCTGACGTGTGTCTGGTGTGTGTGTGTGTGTGTGTTCCAGTTCTGTTGTGGATCCGCGTTCAGTGACGCTGCTGACGTGTGTCTGGTGTGTGTGTGTGTGTGTGTGTGTGTGTGTGTGTGTGTGTGTCTGGTGCGCCCGAGCTTCGTTTACAGTCTGAGGGAGACGCACGTTGGAAACAAAACAATCTTCACAAACATGTCTAAGGATTTCCACACAGAGGAAGACTTGCATTTTTTTGCCCAGCCATATTTATTTGAACCCGAACACACACACACACACACACATACACCAGACACACGTCAACAGCGTCTTACGTCAGCAGCGGCACTGAACGCGGATCCACAACAGAACCAGAATACACACACACACACACACACACACCAGACACACATCAACAGCGTCTTACGTCAGCAGCGGCACTGAACGCGGATCCACAACAGAACCCGAATACACACACACACACACACACACACACACACACCAGACACACGTCAGTAGCGTCTTACGTCAGCAGCGGCACTGAACGCGGATCCACAACAGAACCGGAACACACACACACACACACACACACACACACACACACCAGACACACGTCAGCAGCGTCTTACGTCAGCGGCGGCACTGAACGCGGATCCACAACAGAACCGGAACACACACACACACACACACACCAGACACACGTCAGCAGCGTCTTACGTCAGCGGCGGCACTGAACGCGGATCCACAACAGAACCGGAACACACACACACACACACACACACACACACACACACCAGACACACGTCAGCAGCGTCTTACGTCAGCGGCGGCACTGAACGCGGATCCACAACAGAACCAGAACACACACACACACACACACACACACACACACACACCAGACACACGTCAGCAGCGTCTTACGTCAGCGGCGGCACTGAACGCGGATCCACAACAGAACCGGAACACACACACACACACACACACCAGACACACGTCAGCAGCGTCTTACGTCAGCAGCGGCACTGAACGCGGATCCACAACAGAACCGGAACACACACACACACACACACCAGACACACGTCAGCAGCGGCACTGAACGCGGATCCACAACAGAACCGGAATACACACACACACACACACACACACACACACACACCAGACACACGTCAGCAGCGGCACTGAACGCGGATCCACAACAGAACCGGAATACACACACACACACACACACACACACACACACACCAGACACACGTCAGCAGCGTCTTACGTCAGCAGCGGCACTGAACGCGGATCCACAACAGAACCGGAACACACACACACACACACACCAGACACACGTCAGCAGCGTCTTACGTCAGCAGCGGCACTGAACGCGGATCCACAACAGAACCGGAACACACACACACACACACACACACACCAGACACACGTCAGCAGCGGCACTGAACGCGGATCCACAACAGAACCGGAACACACACACACACACACACACACACACACACACACCAGACACACGTCAGCAGCGGCACTGAACGCGGATCCACAACAGAACCGGAATACACACACACACACACACACACACACACACACACACACACACACACACACCAGACACACGTCAGCAGCGTCTTACGTCAGCAGCGGCACTGAACGCGGATCCACAACAGAACCGGAACACACACACACACACACACACACCAGACACACGTCAGCAGCGTCTTACGTCAGCAGCGGCACTGAACGCGGATCCACAACAGAACCGGAACACACACACACACACACCAGACACACGTCAGCAGCGTCTTACGTCAGCGGCGGCACTGAACGCGGATCCACAACAGAACCGGAACACACACACACACACACACACACACCAGACACACGTCAGCAGCGGCACTGAACGCGGATCCACAACAGAACCGGAACACACACACACACACACACCAGACACACGTCAGCAGCGTCTTACGTCAGCAGCGGCACTGAACGCGGATCCACAACAGAACCGGAACACACACACACACACACACACACACACCAGACACACGTCAGCAGCGTCTTACGTCAGCGGCGGCACTGAACGCGGATCCACAACAGAACCGGAACACACACACACACACACACACACACCAGACACACGTCAGCAGCGTCTTACGTCAGCGGCGGCACTGAACGCGGATCCACAACAGAACCGGAACACACACACACACACACACACACACCAGACACACGTCAGCAGCGGCACTGAACGCGGATCCACAACAGAACCGGAACACAATACAATGCTGAATAAAGTCGTAGTTTTTGTTATTTTGGAGCAAAATGTATTTTCGATGCTTCAACACACTCTAACTAACCCACTGATGTCACATGGACTACTTTGATGATGTGTTTATCTCCTTTCTGGACAAGGACAGTATACCGGACATACATGTTCAATGGAGGGACAGAAAGCTCTCGGACTAAATCTAAAATATCTTAAACTGTGTTCCGGAGATGAACGGAGGTCTTACGGGCTTGGGACGACAAGAGGGCGAGTCATTAATTACATCATTTTCATTTTTGGGTGAACTAACCCTTTAAGAAGTAAGTTATGCTGACCTAACCTGGCCCTAGCCAGATGAATTTCGCTCCGCCTAGCTTCACTCATCCATCTGGAACCGATCCATTGAAATGGCGTTTCAGAAGGCTGGGCCTTATCAAAAATCCTTGCATATGATTGGATAAGCCACTTGTCTGTCATCTTTATCGACGTGCTATTTCAACCACTCACACTACCAGAGGAGCCATTTGGTAGATCAAGCTCTTGCCAAATCCGGTCGGGAGAAGGGCGAAAACATCGTTTCCACCAACAAAAGCCTTAAGAGCCGTTCTCTGATGTTCTTTTAATGAAACAATATTAGGTAGATTGGACAACACGGATGAAATAGCAACATCAATGTTAACGCTTGCTTCCTCGATGCGAGCCGCCATCGTTGTCTGAATCAAAACAGTCTCACGGTCGCTTCTCCACTACGTCACATCTATGAAACTCCCGCCCTGCTTCCTGATTGGCTAAACCATAAAGTTGGTTGGAGAAATCACTCTCAATGGAAGAGGTTCCAGATGGATGTGAGTGAAGCTAGGCGGAGCGAAATTCATCTGGCTAGGGCCAGGTTAATGCTGACCCACCTGGGGTGTGTTTCCCGTACAGCGCTGTAACTCGCTGCTTAACTACTGTAGTACGATGCATCATTGAAGAAATCAACTAGCTAGTCACGACTGTTTCCCGAAACCATGTTGTCGCAAATTAGTCGTTCAACCACGCTGGTTTTTTAAAGTCACGCAGGAGGTGGAGAAATAACGTATTTTAATTAATCTGTTTGAGATCGAATTAACGCTAGATGTTTTGCTACAAATTACAGACATGCATCTGAGGACTATTTCTCATTTTTCTCAGTTATTTCGCTTTATTTCCAGATTCAATCATTGGCTCGTTCTTACGCACTAGAGCTCGTTCACACACGCGCACTCTTCAAAAACAACGCTTTAAATCTTTTGACAAACTAAAAGACGTAATTGACATTTGTATGTATTCTAAATAAAAGATATAGATTCCACTGAATGTCAGCTCGCTTTTTTGGCTCAAGATAAGGATTTATTGAGTCCACGTGTCATGCAAACAAGAAACTGCTTCTAACCACAGATCGAGAGCTGTCGCTCCAAACACACAACTCTGCGATGCTGTTTGTGAATGTTCGTTGGAACGATGGTTTCTGGAAACATCGACTTGTTGAACTGATGATAACGACAGATCTTGCGACCATAGTTGGCTAACGATGCTTTCGTGAAACACACCCCAGACTGGCTCCACCGGTCCAGAAGTGTCCCTGGAGGAATCACACTTCTATAGTTGTGGGATGAGGTTATGAAGAGTGAACTCACCCAACTGCTCTGCCAGCATCCTGCCGTTTTCCACAGACACCACTCTCTCCTCATCCATGTCACACTTATTTCCCGCCAGGATGACCTGCGCGTTGTCCCAGGAGTACGTCTTTATCTGGGTTGACCTAGATACAAACAACCAAGGATGTTACGATTCACTCTCACAATGCAATTACGCTCCACATACAGTATAAACGACGTTCTTCATCGCGCATGGATTATTTCAACACTGTGTGATGATGCATTTCTGTATGGTAAAAGCAGGCTCCATCTGCAAACATACACTGGTAAAAGTTATACAGTATATTCCCGGTTAATTACTGTATTTACTTTCACAGTAGGACTTAAACATGCATCATTTCTTGTAAAATCTGCAGTACTTCACTGGCAATTTTAGTCAAGTTTTTACAGTTGTACTGTGACAGTTTACGGTATTGGAAAAAATACTGTAAGCAAGAAAAATCATATTGTATTGCTAATTTGCTATAGTGCATATGTACAGCAAACAGTCTTTTCTGTCTTACAATAATTCAAATTATCACAGAAGTACACAGAAGTTTATAACCGAAGCATCAAAATAGAGCACATCACCTTTTGAAAGCTTAAAATAAGGATTGTGTAGATTACATGGTTACACCAGTAGGTGGGGTCAAGTGACTGTTAAAACATGTGTTTGTCATTGAATCATTCATTTAAGAGGTTTTGTTCAAAAACACTGAATCATCCAGTAATGAAACGAGTGAATGAGTGAGTCACAGAGAGCCTAAGTCCCTCCCCTTCCGGTCGACCACCATTATTTACTGTAGCTAACTTTACTGAAGCTAACTTTACTGAAGCTAACTTTACTGAAGCTATCTTTACTGAAGCTATCTTCTGAAGCTAACTTTACTGAAGCTAACTTTACTGAAGCTAACTTTACTGAAGCTATCTTCTGAAGCTAACTTTACTGAAGCTATCTTTACTGAAGCTAACTTTACTGAAGCTAACTTTCCTGAAGCTATCTTTACTGAAGCTAACTTTACTGAAGCTAACTTTACTGAAGCTATCTTTACTGAAGCTAACTCTACTGAAGCTAACTCTACTGAAGCTAACTTTACTGAAGCTATCTTTACTGAAGCTAACTTTACTGAAGCTAACTCTACTGAAGCTAACTTTCCTGAAGCTAACTTTACTGAAGCTATCTTTACTGAAGCTATCTTCTGAAGCTAACTTTACTGAAGCTAACTTTACTGAAGCTAACTTTACTGAAGCTATCTTTACTGAAGCTAACTTTACTGAAGCTAACTTTCCTGAAGCTAACTTTACTGACGCTAACTTTACTGAAGCTAACTTTCCTGAAGCTATCTTTACTGAAGCTAACTTTACTGAAGCTATCTTTACTGAAGCTATCTTTACTGAAGCTATCTTTACTGAAGCTAACTTTACTGAAGCTAACTTTCCTGAAGCTATCTTTACTGAAGCTAACTTTACTGAAGCTAACTTTACTGAAGCTATCTTTACTGAAGCTAACTCTACTGAAGCTAACTTTACTGAAGCTATCTTTTCTGAAGCTAACTTTACTGAAGCTAACTTTACTGAAGCTAACTTTCCTGAAGCTAACTTTACTGTAGCTAACTTTACTGAAACTAACTTTCCTGAAGCTAACTCTACTGAAGCTAACTCTACTGAAGCTAACTCTACTGAAGCTAACTTTATTGAAACTAACTTTACTGAAGCTAACTTTACTGAAGCTAACGTTACTAAAGCTATCTTTACTAAAGCTATCTTTACTGAAGCTATCTTTACTGAAGCTAACTCTACTGAAGCTAACTCTACTGAAGCTAACTTTACTGAAACTAACTTTACTGAAGCTAACTTTACTGAAGCTAACGTTACTAAAGCTATCTTTACTAAAGCTATCTTTACTGAAGCTAACTTTACTGAAGCTAACTCTACTGAAGCTAACTTTACTGACGCTAACTCTACTGAAGCTAATTCTACTGAAGCTAACTTTACTGAAGCTATCTTTACTGAAGCTAACTTTACTGAAGCTAACTCTACTGAAGCTAACTCTACTGAAGCTAACTTTACTGAAGCTATCTTTACTGAAGCTAACTCTACTGAAGCTAACTCTACTGAAGCTAACTTTACTGAAGCTATCTTTACTGAAGCTAACTTTACTGAAGCTAACTTTACTGACGCTAACTCTACTGAAGCTAACTTTACTGAAGCTAACTTTACTGAAGCTAACTTTACTGAAGCTAACTTTACTGAAGCTAACTCTACTGAAGCTAACTTTACTGAAGCTAACTCTACTGAAGCTAACTTTACTGAAGCTAACGTCTCTTATTGTTTCTATAGTCTTGCGTTATAATCGTAACGTGACGCCGTCATGCCTGAGTGTTTTGTACCAGACTGCACACACACACCAGCAGCGGATCTCGCTCGTTGTTTCGCTTCCCGGGAGATGTCGTTCATTGAGCGATTTTCACATAAAACTAAATGTTACTCTTCTGTTTCATGACAAACTGCGACTTTCTTGACTTTCAGAATTATCTTTTAAATTGGCAAACATCATATGTGTAATTCAGGGCACAGTTCAGACGGAATAAAAAGATAAGTTGTCTCTCGCCATTGACTACCATACATAAGCCCCTTTCACACAGAGATTCCGGAAAATACACGGATAAAGTGACCCGGGATTTGACCCGGGTTCGTTTGATTCTGCTTCATTCACACCGCCAGTGATTTGCCGGAATCAGAGAGTGCGTTCACACACAACCCGTGTATGTTCCGGAAAGACGCGTGACGTTGTATGTGACGGGTCTCTACTTCAGTCCAGTTTGCAGACATTTTTTCGTTCTTTCTTGTATCGATGACGAACACAAACTTTCAAGATAACTTAAAAGGAGCAAGCAAAAATGAGCATAACCAATGTCCCTCGCATGTGCAGATTGATATTTAAAAGTTTTTTAATTTTTCTTCTTCACACTAACGTTTAGATATTTAAATAGCATAAAACACCAATAACAAAGTGAACTCAGTAGGTTAGCTGATTACCTTAAAAATCCATAGATATCGTAGTTAGTTCTTACGGCCGTTAACACTTTCTAACACAAGCGGATACAATGAGACCCGTTTTCCGGTTTGGTCACGTGACGCTCGGCATAAAGCCTATTTGCCGGGTTCAAAGCGCTGTGTGAAAGGGGCTATATTTGTTCCGCAAAAGGTCCCATGAGCCGGAAGCGGAGGGGAGGGACTTCGGCTCTCTATTGAGTCGTTCACTCAGTTTAAAAAATATATATAATTCTTTCAGATTAATTAAACTTTTTATATAGACTCCAGCAATTAACATTTTCTCAGAACCGCTAGTAAATTACATGTTACTTTGTTTAGTTGTCTGTTCAGAATCGTGGGAGTATCATGATTTGAAACTAAAAAAATGTCCATTTATCCTGAATAGTGCAGCTCCACTTGATGTGTTGTATTAGATTACTTTGGATTTTTTTATTTTTATTAGATGTGATATTGTTTGATTATGTAAAGCAGTTTAGCCTGTATTTTATGTGTGAAAGGTGCTATATAAATATATTTAAATTCCTTGCAATTTTTTACAGTGTGCCGCCCAATTAAAGCTAATGTTTTATACGTCTCAGTTTTTAAAGGCTTGTTTTGGTGCATAGCAACAGCAGACAGCTGGTGCACTCACTAAAGCCCACGACACATCACAGCGTTTGCTCATGTATGTCGCAGAGATAATGCGGAGACTGTAGGAAGTTGCTCTCGTGTTTCCCCAGCGTTTTCACATACGTCTGGTTTAATTAGGTGTCAGTTCACTGACCGCAGCTGGAGTCTCTTGAGTTTCACCACACATCATTTCAAGGAGTTAAACTACAGTCAAGCTACCCTTCTGAAAAACTACATGACTAATTACTAACAAAGAGTAGCTTTTTAAAGAGGTAAAATCTGCAATTTTTATACTTATACTGTAAAAGTGGCAACCTGCAATTGTTACCTTAAAGAGATATTTCTACCCGATTTAACCTATAAATATGTATTTTGTTGGTATTATTAAAAATGTATGTATTTCAGTTGATTCAGTGATATTAAATAATATTTTTGACTTAAACTAGTTAATTTAGATGTAACCATTTTTAGGTTACTATTTTTTTCCAGTGTACATTTACGCATTTAGCAGATGCTTTTATCCAAAACGACTTATAATTTGTTCGAAGAGCCAACAATATTCATAATATACAATGCCAGGTTTATTAGACAACTAGATTAGGAAATAAGCAGAAAACAAATTTAAAACTTAAACACTCAAATTTATAGTACAAAATAAAAATATATAGTGATAAACAGTAGTAGTTCACTAAATATTTATTTACAAAATATTTAAATAATTTAAAATAAAAAAATTGACTGGAAAACAAATTAAATTTTATTTTATTTCTATTATAAATTATTATTATTAACATTATATTATTATTAAATTATTAGTATTATTTTTGGGGTTTTGTTCTTTACCAGTTTACTGATTTGAAGCCACTTGACAGGACATTTTTTACATAATTTATTCATGTCTGACTTTGATAGTGCTTATTTGGATCTATAATTGTTTTATCATTTACTTTTATTTTACGGAAAATTCAGCATCAAGATTTACCGGTGACAGGATTTCTGAGTGAACTATTACTTTATGAAGATGACATCTGCCGATGAAGCAGTATAATTGCATGTTCACCTCTCCAGCTCTGTCCTTTCAGTAAATTCACGTCTCATTTCTACTTAATAAAGTACTAAAGCTCAGACATCAAGCGGTTTTGCGGTTGTAATGACTCAGCATCTGACCCGAGTCGCCTTTCCTCCGCTCTACTCTTTCTGTTCCAGATCCTCAGCCTCTTATCCGGATGTTCATTAGTCTCTCGTCTCACGCTAATTAAATCAGCCACTGACCACAGCCGGACGCCCAGCGGAGCGGATCAATAGGGCGTCGTCCGTAAACCCCTGAACGAGCCCTGCTGCCCTTTAATACTGAGGGAAATTTAAATGACTCTTGTTAAATATTAACCAGATGGATTCCTGAAGACTCAATGATGCTACTTTTCCTCTAAGGCCTCTTTAACTGCTCACAGAGGACTGTTCAGTTTACATAATTCAAAACAGACCCTATTTACTCTCTTAATAAACGTCTTATCATCAATGAATCAGTGTAAGCTTGCATTCATAATATCCCATCAAAATTGTATAACTTTCTCCGACACATAACACATACCAATACTTAAGAAAACCCTACCAAAAACTGTTTTAATAATATAATTAATCGAAATAAAAAATAATATGAATACAAATATAATAATATTAACTAATACTATCATGATCACTTCACTTTCACTTTTCATGATTTACTCACTTAATTGAGTAAATCAATTATAATACTAAACAGGGCCCAGTTTACACCTGGTGTTTTAATCCGTCTCTTTTGTCCACTTTCAACCTTCTGTCCTGATTTCTTCAAGGGGAGGGTCTATGTAAAATAAATGTATGGGCTTTTTCAGATCTTTAGATCTAATGGATGGAATAAGCTCACGCAATTAACATATGAACGCGACCGGAGACGACGGAAAAACACACGGAGAGCAACAGCTTTAGTTTCTGCTCTGACAGCCGAGCGAAATCAGGAATGGAGAGAGAACATTGTGCTTGGTACATTTTTCATCTTCAAACCAAACTTGGGTCTTCAGCCGATAAAGTTTAAATCCCGTCTGGCTAGAGCTCTTCTCATAATGTTCACTCATTAAGACAGTAGACGGAGATTAGACGGTCTTTTGTGGCTGTTTGAACACATTTGAGCGTTTACAGTACGAAAGCAATCCGTTCAAATGTGTTTTAAACTGGCTCTGGAAGTGGTGGAAAGTGGACAAGCTCAAAACCTTTTAGACCTCGTTTACACCTGTATTCAGCGTCGTCCACTTGTGATCCGATCGACCAAACGCGTCTTAATAACAGCTGTAAACAGGGCCTCAGATATGAAAACTCCTGGCCTCGTCACTGCTATTTTTATACCAAACAATGAATCATTAAAGTGCTATGATGATGATGTGTAAACTAGAGATATTTATGCTTCCTTCAGAGCCGTCTCACTCACGGCATTTGTGTTGATGGAACAATAACTTGCTTATAGTTCTCTTAAACCATGCAGATTTTTTCTGCAAACACACACACACACAATCTATTATGCAGAAATACTGCCTTCTGCTTCAAATACTGCAGAAGTGTCTCTGCATGATCGCTGCAAACGCTGGCTTCATGTCCAGTGATCTTGTCTCCGATCGCATCTACACTGCTCGTGGACCAGAGGTCTCGCGGACCAGAGGTCTCGTGGACCAGAGGTCTCGTGGACCAGAGGTCTCGTGGACCAGAGGTCTCGTGGACCAGAGGTCTCGTGGATCAGAGGTCTCGTGGATCAGAGGTCTAGTTGATCAGAGGTCTCGTGGACCAGGGGCCTAGTGGATCAGAGGTCTAGTTGATCAGAGGTCTAGTTGATCAGAGGTCTCGGGGACCAGAGGTCTCGTGGACCAGATGTCTAGTTGATCAGAGGTCTCGTGGATCAGAGGTCTCGTGGACCAGAGGTCTCGTGGATCAGAGGTCTCGTGGATCAGTGGTCTCGTGGACCAGAGGTCTCGTGGATCAGTGGTCTCGTGGATCAGAGGTCTCGTGGATCAGAGGTCTCGTGGACAAGAGGTCTCGTGTACCAGAGGTCTCGTGGACAAGAGGTCTCGTGGACAAGAGGTCTCGTGGACATGAGGTCTCGTGGACCAGTGGTCTCGTGGATCAGAGGTCTAGTTGATCAGAGGTCTCGTGGACCAGAGGTCTCGTGGACAAGAGGTCTCGTGGACAAGAGGTCTCGTGGACCAGTGGTCTCGTGGACCAGAGGTCTCATGGACCAGAGGTCTCGTGGACAAGAGGTCTCGTGTACCAGAGGTCTCATGGACCAGAGGTCTCGTGGACAAGAGGTCTCGTGTACCAGAGGTCTCGTGGATCAGAGGTCTCGTGGACAAGAGGTCTCGTGGACAAGAGGTCTCGTGGACCAGTGGTCTCGTGGACAAGAGGTCTCGTGGATCAGAGGTCTAGTTGATCAGAGGTCTCGTGGACCAGAGGTCTCGTGGACCAGAGGTCTCGTGGACCAGAGGTCTCTCGTGGACCAGAGGTCTCGTGGACAAGAGGTCTCGTGGACAAGAGGTCTCGTGGACCAGTGGTCTCGTGGACCAGAGGTCTTGTGGACAAGAGGTCTCGTGGATCAGAGGTCTAGTTGATCAGAGGTCTCGTGGACCAGAGGTCTCGTGGACCAGTGGTCTCGTGGACCAGAGGTCTCGTGGAACAGAGGTCTCGTGGACAAGAGGTCTCGTGGACAAGAGGTCTCGTGGATCAGTGGTCTCGTGGATCAGAGGTCTAGTTGATCAGAGGTCTCGTGGACCAGAGGTCTCGTGGACAAGAGGTCTCGTGGACCAGTGGTCTCGTGGACCAGAGGTCTCGTGGACCAGAGGTCTCGTGGACAAGAGGTCTCGTGGACAAGAGGTCTCGTGGATCAGTGGTCTCGTGGATCAGAGGTCTAGTTGATCAGAGGTCTAGTTGATCAGAGGTCTCGTGGACCAGAGGTCTCGTGGACAAGAGGTCTCGTGGACAAGAGGTCTCGTGGACCAGTGGTCTCGTGGACCAGAGGTCTCGTGGACCAGAGGTCTCGTGGACAAGAGGTCTCGTGGATCAGAGGTCTCGTGGATCAGAGGTCTCGTGGATCAGAGGTCTCGTGGATCAGAGGTCTCGTGGATCAGAGGTCTCGTGGATCAGAGGTCTCGTGGATCAGAGGTCTCGTGGACAAGAAGTCTCGCGGATCAGAGGTCTCGTGGACCAGAGGTCTTGTGGACAAGAGGTCTCGTGGACAAGAAGTCTCGCGGATCAGAGGTCTCGTGGACAAGAAGTCTCGCGGATCAGAGGTCTCGTGGACAAGAAGTCTCGCGGATCAGAGGTCTCGTGGACCAGAGTCACTCACCAGTCCTGGACGGCTCCGAACGACTCCTCGTTTGTGATGTCGTACATGAGGATGAAGCCCATGGCTCCACGATAATACGCCGTAGTGATGGTGCGGTATCTCTCCTGTCCTGCAGTATCCTTAAAAATACACACAAAACAGCTTTGTTAGTTCAGACACTCATTTGAATTCTTAAACACTTTTTTTGTTATTCAATTCATACTTATATGTATAGCACTTTTCACAATACACATCATTTCAAAGCAGCTTTACAGAAAGTGCATATTACAATTTAGAGATCTGTTATCAGAGGAAACTGTCTAAGTTATACAGTTATGTATAAGTTATGACCGATTATATCCTGTCAATCAAAAGGATGCAGAAAAAAGTGTCAGACTTCAACTCATACTGTGTGTGAAGAAAATCTCTTGTGTGTTAAATTTAGGGCAAGTTAGCACGACAATAAGGCATATACAATTAAAAAATAGTAGAATAAAGTTGAAGTTGTAAATAAAACAAAGATTATTACAGTACATTTGAAAGAAAATACTATTTCAGTCTTTGAAGTCAAGTCACCTTTATTTATATAGAGCTTTCTACAAAGCAGATTCACATTAATAAACAGAATCAATGATGCAAACTTCATCAAATATGAGACTTCACAATGTCACGCTTCATTCAATGTGTTACTTGCCGTTTCTTTGTAACTATTATTGACATTTACTAGCAATTTCTGAGTGAAAGATGTTTCTATCCAACACTGTTTTTTTTCAGTGTAGTTAAAGGTGCAATGTGTCATTTTAGTTGCGAAATACAACCAACAGAAGTTACAGTGGCCGACAGGAAGTGATGTCGTCGTCTGAGACAGTAACAGTAGCCAGTTAAATAATGAGGTTTCTTTACAAAGATAAATTTAGAAATTAGGTTTACTTTATTATTCAGTAAAATGATGTTATTATTGCGAATATTATTGTTACTTGTTCATCATTGTGTCAGTGTTTTATTCGCTGACTTTAGCAGCTTCTTTGAACGAAGAACAATAGTGACGAAATGCATTTGTCCGTTCAGGGCCACCGTAGAAACATGTCGATGTAAGGCGACCCGCGGTGTGTGTAGAAAGAAATGCCTCATTATAAGCTAATAAACACACAACGGTTCATTAAGTAAGGTCTTCATACACCACTGAAAACATAGTTATGTGTATGATATTGCATTTCTGTCAACAGATTAGATCCTAAATATTACACACTGCACCTTTAATAAATGTTTAAAGGGAACCACAACAGCAAACCTAACATTGGATTAAGTTTATTCCATATTTAAATAAATAATATTCATATAATATTTCAGAAGGCTTGATGGATGAGCGCAGGAAGTCATTTAACTTCTTCTACCAGATTGTTCCCAAATTTAGCAGGGAAAATCGGAGACCTGCCGGGCGTTACCATGGAGATTGAGCAGGACAGCAGGACGTATCAATGGCGCTGGTCGGGTGGGTGGATGCAATACAGAAAATTATGGACCCTAAAGGGTAATATTTTACGCTTTTGTAGCATGCAATTTCTCCCAGCTGACCAGTTATAATATTAGTCAAGGATTCTTGCAACAAAAACATCTAAATGTAGTTTAAACGACCATTTCCACTTTCTCTCTAGCCTTTGTTATGGATTATTATTATTAAGGCTGTTGATATGTAAATGTGGGCGGTCATATGGTAATGAGCTCATAATGGGCTCAAACCCTTTACATAAAAAGCGTACAAAATAAGCAGAAGGAAAGGAAAATCCTGTTTTGACACAAATGAAAGCGGAGATATATTTCTATATTATTTTTAAAAGCTTTTTGATAATTGCTTTGCACGAAAGGTCACAGATAGAGCTTAAAAATATTTACACGGAAATAAACCACATTAAATGTTTTACTGCAAGTGTTGTTCATACGCTGTAAAAAAAATGTTGCTACCTTTCATTTATAATCAATCAACTTGGATGTTTAAGTCATTTCAACCTAAATTAAATTGACTTGAATCTTGTATAACATAAAAAAGTTATTTGACTTATTTTGATGAGTTAAAGCAATGTAAAAACATATGTTGTCTTAACTTGTATACGTGTTTACGCAAGAATAATATATAATAGCAACAGTGTGTGTTGCTCTCTGGGTTATTTCGTTCTGCATTCAACATTTTTATCTTTAGATTTTTATGCATTACAGCTGCACAATTAATCATTAAAAGATTGTGATCTTATTCCTAAATGACAACATTTCACCTGTGTCTCTTCGACAAAATCTCACCAGAACATTTAAAGTTGTGTTACCGCTGCCACTGATCCAGAGAGAGCCGTTGTCATGTATACTGTACATATGAAACAGCTTTGCAACCACACAATTTCGTTATTTCTGTCGTCTTACAATAATTCAAATTATCACAGAAGTACTGAGATAATTTTTTATTGTTCAGATATAAACACTGATAGCTACGGAAGCAATTAAAACAGCAAATTAACTTGACACTTTAAATAAAGATTGTATAGATTTCATGGTTACACCAGTAGGCGACAAGTGACTGTTAAAAATGTGTTTGTCATTGAATCATTCATTCAAGAGATTTGTTCAAAAACGCTGAATCATCCAGTAATTAAACAAGTGAAGTGTTTATGAGTGAGTCATTGAATCATTCACTCAACCCGATTTAAAAAAAATATTTATTGTAAATTATTAAACATTTAATTCAATTAAAAAGACTGCAGCAATTAATATTTTGCCAGAACCTCTGGTAAATTTCATGTTATTTTGTCTAGTTTTCTACAATGCACCTTTTTGTTTTGAAGAAAACAGGAAGAAAAGCGCTTTCGCTAATAAGACTGCCTGGTAGATTTATCATCTATGCGGTTGTACCATAGACTAAAAAAAGATGGACGATGCCCCTTCGCTCTCTTCCATTGGTCAGAAGTGAAGCCGCCAGTGTCCCGATACGGCGCTGACATCTTGGGACTTGAGTCTGCACAGAAGCGATCTCAGGACCAGACCTGCGCGGAAGTAAAGCCGTGAAATCAAGGCCCCGCCCTCACTCTCGCAGAAACAATCGCAAGCACACGCTCCGGCACTTTTTTAAAATTAATTATAGAAATTTAGATATTAAATTTAAAGCTCCAATCTCCTCAGTCCTCCGAAGATCCCGAAAAAAAGTCTGTTGGTGCTTCAGTGACTTCTGCGCTCAGAGAACCTGTCAATCACAGCTGTCAATTTTGACGTCACACCACCGTATCAAATAACTAACTAAAAACAAACTTATTTTAAAAACATACACTTGAAATTACATCAGCGTGATTAAAAACTACAGTAAATGACAGAAACCATATTTGGAAAAAAGATATTTGAAGTGTAATTTAATGGTCTCACGTGCCGTTGAATAACACAGGGAGGCAGGGTTTATGAGCTATACTGGGACCGGCCACCGGGGGGGCGATCGAAACACTGGGTTTATGAGCTATACTGGGACCGGCCACCGGGGGGCGATCGAGACACTGGGTTTATGAGCTATACTGGGACTGGCCACCGGGGGGCGATCGAGACGCTTTGGCTTCACTTTTCAGGGCTTGTGCGGCACACTTGGGTTGTACTTGATTGTACTGCACATATCAGAAGATTATTACAGAGGCAGCTGACTTTGATGGAGGAATTTACAGCTTTACTCGCAAACTATAATTCTTGTTCATCAATAAGATAAGAACCAGACAAGACAGATATACTGGAATTAATTGAAAAGTGTACAGTCCGAGTAGTAATAGAAGATGTTTGCTGTCGTAATAATGACAGTAGCGCACACAGAAGTATAGCTGTTCTGTGCTACGGCACGGTTAGCGATCACACTACGTGCATACCAAGCCCAAGCCCAACTGAACAGTGCTCAGGCCCACCTCTTCCAAGCGGGCCAGGGACCGTTACGGGACGGTTTAAATCGCCCGGTGTGAGTACACCCTAACTGGTCTTCCCATGCATGTGCCAATAACACTGCCCTCTAGTGTGAAGTGGACCATGACAAACAGCAAATCCCCAATCCTGCTCTGCCGGTGCTCTTATCTGCCACAGACAGATCCAATGAGCGACCACACACACACACACACACACACACACACAATACAAAAGAGAAGCACACACACACACAATACAAAAGAGAAGCACACACACATACATACACACATACATACATACACACAAAATACAAGAGAGAAGTGCACACACACACACACACGCACACACACAGAGTGGCCAAAAAATAACGCATCGTGCTCCATTAGGAGGCTTTATGATGATCTAGGACCGCAAGCAATTATAAAATGGGCTCTGAGCGTCTCTTTATGGCTCTGTGAAAGGCTTGTCTTTGGACACACACAGACTGAAGTAAAGGCTCTAATTACTGCAAACAGAGCCGCTGATAAGAGCAAACAACATGCAGGCGCTCCCTGAGCAGGTGCTGGTCAATCTCGGCCACGACCCCCGAGAGAGAGAGAGAGAGAGAGAGAGAGAGAGAGAGAGCAAAACGCACCATTCACTATTGTACATATAACTCTTTCAGTCTGCTTGAGGTTACATTAGGCCAGTCGATCAATTAAAAATGTAATTACATGAATACATGGATTAATCAAACTATAATATCAAATAATAATATAACATCATTGTTGCAAACCAGCAAATTACCAAATATGCAGAAGAAAAAGTAGCTTTTAAAGTCAATAAATAAATAATGATCAAATAATAAAAAATACATTTAAAAAAAATAACAAAATATCTTTAAAAAAATCAACATGTTAAATTGACAGCCTCTACCTTTATTTAACCTTTATTCTCAAAAAAAAATGTATCATTGGACGTCAATTATTAAGTAATGATCAAATAATAAAAATATATATTAAAAATGAATAAAACACATGAAAAAATAATAGTTTATAAATAAATTATTCATAATAAAAAAACAAAAATATCAAATTAATAAATGAGCCAACATATTAAATTGACAGCCCTATTTTTAATAGTACAAAATAGTACAGTAAAAAATCAGGGATGAAATAACATACCTTTAAAAGTAAATAAAAAAAATAATGATTTAATAAAAAAATATTTCTAAATAAATAATAAA